GCTTCTCTCCGTCTTAACTGGATGTGGTTAAAAGCACTCTAAGCCCCCCCCCCCAAGCGCTAATCTGAGGCTTCTGCTCTGTTTACCTTCTGACAGCACATAGAGGAATGTAAGAAGCTTTTCCCTTGCTTGACAAGCTAAGAGTGAATGATTTTATCTTGTTTTGTGATTTTTATATTGCCTGAAAAGTTAGAGAAAGATCCCTTCTACATACATACATACATACATTCTGCAAACTAAACACCCAGTCTTTACAGTTTTTTGGCTATTTTTGCTTTCTTGTTTAACCAAAAGCTGGGCAAAACTGAAAGCTGAGAAAATCCTTCTCTTTGAATGTAAAGAGAAGTTTATAGCTTGTTGGCTTGTTGCCTTAAGTAATTTATTGCCTTGTGTAAAGCTAATGGGTGCCGGCAAATGCTGGGCGTGCTAGTAGGGTTGCCAAGTGTATTCTTCGTCGGGAGCGGGGGGGGCTCCCGGCCAGCGTCCAGTGCGTGCCCACGCTGCATGCACATTACCCAGAAGTGACGGGAGGACGCCAGGCACGCTGGGGGCGGGGACACGGGCATACAAGGGAAAACCATAGAGTTTTCCCTTGTATGGCCGTGGCCCCGCCCCCAGCGTGCCTGGCGTGCCCACGTCACTTCCTGGTGACGCACACGCAGGGGTGGGGTTACCCCCAGGGCCCAATTCCGCGGCGTCGGAAATCGGGCCTCCAAAGCGGGGGTTTACCCGCCCCCCGCCTCCACTTGGCAGCCCTACATGCTAGAGAAGAGGGAGGAGAACCACAGCATTCCCGGCCAGCAAGCAGAAAAAAATAGCAGATTTCTTTGTACCACTTTGAAAAAAGCATCACACCAGTATAAGCCCTACATGCTAGAGAAGAGGGAGGAGAACCACAGCATTCCCGGCCAGCAAGCAGAAAAAAATAGCAGATTTCTTTGTACCACTTTGAAAAAAGCATCACACCAGTATAAAGAAAGACAGCATCAAGACTGCTTTAAAAATGAAATGCAGATTCGGCCAGTGATTTGTAAGATGATGTGGGATCAGTCGCACAGCGGCTGGAAAGACCAATGCAGATTGGACCTGAGTAGATCCTTCCCAGAGCTATTTAGTAATAGTGGAGCTTACTCCCAGAAAAGCATTCTTAGTGCTGTAAGTGTTGCTTTAATCAGACTACTATCAATAGAGATAGACAACTGGATGGGTGGCTGAGGATGGCAGAAACTGAGCAATTAAGCAGGTGGGGAAGAGCAGGGATGAAACAGAAACCTGAAAGAGTGGGCAAGGGGTAGAAATAGGAGTCCCTGCAAGAGGAAGCAGGGGCTAGCAAGGAGATGAAGGGATTTCCGCTTTATTGTGAGTGCTCGTATAGGTATAATAATCAAGAGGCCAAGTATGTAATATATGTTACTGCTTGCTTACATAAAATGGTCTATCATAGCTGTTGTTGAAGACTTGTCATTGATAACAGTTACTTCAGCAATTATTTACACTGGGAGAATGTGACATGATTAACTGTTTACTGATTATGTACATGTATTAGAATGTCAATGTCACACACTCCTATTTCCTGCCTATTCAGTGATGCTACAGATATTATTTTCTATACAAACAGCACTTCCATTCAGAAGAAAATATGTGTGTGTAGATCACCATGTGCAATAATCACATACACACATATTTTGCTATGTGTACATGTGGGAAACCCTCTCCTCTTGGTTTTGGAGCCAATTTCCAACTACATCAATATTTCCAAGGAAGTGTCTTTAGAAATGTGGGCCTGAGTGTTCGGTTCCTATTTGGGTGTGTGAGAGAAATATCTGTGCTCCATTCCTGTGGCAATAATTCCTCAGGATGCAAGTCTGGCAGGGTACACTGCAGAAAAGCATTTTGGTAGTATAACATGGAAAATCTTGCTTGTAACTTTGATGGCAAATGACATTTTTCCAGGTGATAAATTGTAGCGTCTCTTATTAAAACAATTAAAATCTAAGGCCCAAATCCCAAAAGAAGAGATATATGCTGGCTGTAAGATCATATGTACAAGAAAGACCTTACAGAAACAACGAACTTCAGTTTTTACTAGAACATTTTCTACAAATATCATCAACAACAGTACCTACCTACTTTGGTCACAATTTTATGAAGTAGGTCTAGGTCAGAGCTGCTAGGCAGAAAGGGATTGCCAGTGGCCATCTCGATGATCATACAACCTAAAGCCCAGATGTCCACAGGTCTAAGAACTTACTAAAGTACACATGTTCAAAAATAACAAAGCAAGATCTGTTAGAATGTATCCACACAAAAAAGCAAGCCATTTTCTTCAAAATGACTCACATCAACTAGCTGGCTCCTAAGTAAATGACTTGAGCACTGTAACCTAAGGCTTGAACCCACTGGAACATTTCCATGGATGGAAAGATTTCCATCCACAGAACACAACTTTCATGGTGCCATTTGAGCTGCAGAGGGAGGCAAGAAAGCTGTGTTCTGTGGGCAAAAAAACTGCAGTCTGTGCAAGCATGCTGGTTGACACAAGCCAATGACATAGATTTCATGGCGTTTAGGTGAGAACATATATTTAAACCATATTGTATTCGTGAGTTTGACAAGGTGGTTGGTAATTATTAGAATCTTCTTATCTTCCTGGGAGAGCTTTCAGAGTTAGAGATATGAAAGTTTCACCAACGTATGAGGAGCTGGCCTAATTGGAATTTGCCCATTATATGCAAATACATTCTTCTGAAATCAGCAAATCTTACAAACATAAAATGTTTTATATTGGGGTATGATTCCTATGTAATGAAAGTTGTTCATTTTCAAAGTACAGCAAAATATTGGCTGTCTATAACATTGAACAATTTTATTCAAAGATAGGCAGTTGGCTTGCCTCACTGAAATCAATGCAAAATTTGCCCCTGTACTCAAGAGAGAATAGCATCAATTGTACTGAAAGTAATAAAATATCTAATCTAATCCTCCATTAAAACAAGAGCCATGGTTTAAATGTGTGTGAGAGTGCCATCTAATGTTCCTCTAGGGTACCTTACCACATCTAGTCTTCAATACACTTGTTAAAATATTTTCATATGAATACATTAAAGCAATTCACTTAAAAATATGCTGTTGTGATTCTGCATAGGACAACAGTAAGATATTTAAAAAATGCATACTTCCCATATGTAGTATCCTTCAGTACCAGCTCTGGAGCTCTGTACCACCTCGTGGCCACATAGTCAGTATAAATATCACCCGGGGCTGCTAAAGTCCGAGCAAATCCAAAATCACAAAGTTTAGTAATTCCAGTCTGTGAAACTAAAATATTCTCTGGCTTGATATCACGATGAATGACCTGGCCAAAAAAAAAAAGGAATAAATTTAATTTTAAGTGGACAAAATGGTTTCATTAAAAAAGGGAGATTAGATATGAATACATTAAAGCAATTCACTTAACATATGCTGTTGTGAATCTGCATAGGACAGCAGTAAGATATTTTAAAAATGCATACTTCCCATATGTAGTATCTTTCAGTACCAGCTCTGGAGCTCTGTACCACCTCGTGGCCACATAGTCAGTATAAATATCACCCGGGGCTGCTAAAGTCAGAGCAAATCCAAAATCACAAAGTTTAGTAATTCCAGTCTGTGAAACTAAAATATTCTCTGGCTTGATATCACGATGAATGACCTGGCCAAAAAAAAAAAGGAATAAATTTAATTTTAAGTGGACAAAATGGTTTCATTAAAAAAGGGAGATTAGTACCCATACTGATAAGTAAAAACAAAGAGGGTTGAGCTTGGTTTGTCTTGAGGGCACTGCTGGACTCCAGCTTCATACTCACATCTTTTTGTTAACTCTTGCATTTACGTGCTAATTTGCCACTATCCATTGGTCTTACCGACCACCTGATTCAATTTCAGCTCTGCATATGCATCTTGGGTCGGAGTGGCCCCTCCTAATAGCTGCCCCCACCCTCTTTTTTGCTGTAAGTAGCCCCTGAGGAGATTCTGTCCCATTTGTCTGAAGAAGTGTGCTTTGCACATGAAAGCTTACACTTTGCATAAAACTTTGTTGGTCTTAAAGGTGCCGCTGGACTCAAACTTTGTTCTGCTGCTTCAGACCAACACGGCTACCCACCTGAAACAAAAAGGTTGTGGCCCTCACACAAACAAGTCAGAACCTCTTGACAGAATCTGAGGACAAACTCTAAAGAAACTGCAAAAAGTCATGGAGCTTAAGCTTGAAAAGTTCAAGGAAGTCATCCTTAGTGTGTTAGAACAACAATAAGCCTCATACTGTACATCCAGATACAGATATGGATATCTTGAATACTGAGCCCATCTACAATCACACCTTTTTAGAGAGACCTATTAACTTCCAAAGTGCAGAAACCACTAGTTCTTCCTGTTGTGAAGAGAAGCTGTCTCTGCAGATGCTAACCAGCTGTTTCTTAATACAATGCTGAAACCACCTCCCTCCCACTGCTTCATCCAGCTGTGCGGAGTGCCGATTGGACCTTGAAGTAATCATGATAATGTCCCCCCCTCACCCAGAGCCTTTTTTGAATCTAAAAATAAAATATTTTTCTTTTTGAAGTGCTAATAAATGGTTAATGAATAAAAATGTTTACAAGCTGTCACAACCTGCCTGAAGCAAACTGACTGCGATAGAGAATTCTAAACTGAAGTCAGAGATGGGTATGTATGAAGGTGGGGGGGGGGAGCAGAGCTGATTCCACAGCAGAATACACAGAGGGACACGTACATCAGTTTTATAACAGTTTGATTCTCATAACAGCCATACCCACACACCAAGAATCTTACACATTTTGACTTGGATCATATACTTTTCTTCTGCCTGTGCAGCGCAGTTTTCCATTGAAGAGATAGCCCCTTGCTGCAGTGTACATTCCCCTGGCATTTCCCACTTTTCCACAGCATTTGCCTGAGCAGAAAGTGCCTAGCATCAGACAACCACATTGTCCAAGTGAAAGAAAAGTGTAGCATCCAAGACTGTATTACTGTTATTAATAATGCCAAAGATTTATATCCTGGCTGCCAATCCACCATTGGGTCTTCAAGGCAGCTTACAAATATGTTTTATATCTGACCACCAGCATGGTGTTGTAGTTAAAATATTGGACTAGGATCTGGAAGAAACAGGTTCAAATCCCCACTCTACCATGGTAAGCGTACTGAGGTGACCTTTGGACACTCACACAACCTTAGCCTAACCCTATCTCCTAAGGCCGTTGTGAGGATAAAATGAAAGAGAATAATGTGAGCCACTCTGGGTCCCCACGGGAGAGAAAGGCAGGGTATAAAAGAAGTAAGTAAATAAATAAATTTCAACAAAGTTGTTTTCAGACCCTGCAGTGGTGAGCTGAACCTAACAGCCTCCCTTGTGCTATGTTCCATGTCCGCATCAGAAAGCCAAGCCAGGGGCCAACATCCTTTGGCATACTTCCCAGCAACATCAACTGGTGCCACCTGAGTAATGGTGGAGGAGGAGAGAGCAAACCCTCCTGTCTCTCAGCCAGCTGGGTAGCGCAGCAGATAATGTTTAGGCCACAGCAGCTCCCATAACCCAGCTTGTCCCATCAAAAAGTGATGAGTAACTTGATGAGGGTGCTGAATTCTGTTGGATAACTTTAACCCCCACTTCACAGAACCACAGTTTCTAGGGTTCCCAGCGGTAATGGAACTACTTTAAACCTGTGGTATAGAAATGCCTTCTGTTTGCAATGAAGGCTTTGTCTGGTGTAATGTTATTAATTCACCTATACCTAGCTATTTGTGCCTATCCAATGCTACTAGGGGAGCTGCAGTGGCTCAAGTGCTTAAGACACTGAACTGCAGGCTGTGGAAGGTCAGTAGTTCAGCAGTTCGAGACCTGGGTTGCCGCATGACGGAGTGAGCTCCCGTCTCTAGTTCCAGGTCCTGCCAACCTAGCAGTTCGAAAGCAAGAAATTGCAAGTAGATAAATAGGTACCACTTCGGTGGGAAGGTAACAGCGTTCCGTGCGCCTTGGTGTTTAGTCATGCCAGCCACATGACCACGGAAAACGTCTTCAGACAGCACTGGCTCTTCGGCTTTGAAACGGAGATGAGCCCCACAATCCTAGAGTTGGACTCGACTGGCTTTTGAGCAAGGGAACCTTTGCCTTTACCTAATGCTACTAGGCTACTGTTAGGGTTACATGGGCAGTTTCTTGTCACCCTTCTAGGTCCTCATTTTAGAAACAAAACCCATGAAATAATTGTATATTTTCATAATTACAAAAAGAGTTTTTGAAAGCCTTTTTTCCTTCCTGCATTTCTCACCTTATTTACTGAATCTATAGAGTTGTGCAGTTATGCAATGTACAATATTAATACAATGTTCCTCCCATTTTGAACCTGAAGGAGTGGACTATGGCAGGAGATGGGGCAAAGCAATAATAAGGGTGTGACAGGATCTGCTCAGAAATAGAACTTATAATGTCAGCTTGTGGAATTTACATCCACGTTCATTTAAGTGGGAACAGTATGAGCGACTCTCACTTTTCCTAACTGACATTTCTGAGCCTTTAACAGGCACATTACAGAGTCTCTTAATATTGTGCAAATATTAGAGGCACGGAAACTCCAGTCAGGAAAGGATGAGATAGCCATAGGTCAAGTTGAAGGGGGGAAATTACCCAGTTTCACCGCTTCAAAAGAGCTAAAATGTCACAAGTGCTCATGTTCAGAAGACCATTATGAGTGTTCCAGTTCTGTACTGAGAATGACAAATAGCTAGTTTCTAAGGAGAGCAGAGAATATTGTGTGATTATGGAACAGCAATTCCTCAGCAGGGAATGAACAATTTAAGAGCTGGAACACTGAAACCTTTTACAAAATCAGATAAGGTATTCAAGTGAAAATAATAGCCGGTTTCAACTTTTGAATTTTCCCTACCATTTCTGAATAGTACTTACATTATTGCTGTGGAGATAGTCAACAGCTCGAAGAATCTGGAAGAGATACCTTTTAAGTTTTCTGTTCTCCAGTCCATGAGAGTAATGCTGCAATTCATCTAAAATGGTATGGTCAATGAATTCAAACACTATATGAATTCTCTTTTTCAGTCTAAAGACTTCAATCAGGTTGACCAAGTTTTCATGACGGAATTGCTGTTGACAAAAGAAGAAATTTTTAAAAATTAAGGTATAGGGTGAAGCAAAAAATGCTGGTTTTCTAGCATTTCTGAATACTGATATCCTTCTTCCCTTTGTTCAACATGGTTCCTAACATTGTGGACAGATAACCTAAAGCAATGCATTTTTAGTGATTACTTTTTTTAAAAAAAATCACCATGGAAACCCACGGACTGCCCAAAAGACAAATAAAAGTGTTCTAGATCAAATCAAGCCTGAACTCCCCGTAGAAGCTAAAATGACCAAACTGAGGCTATCCTACTTTGGTCACATTATGAAAAGATTAAAGTCACTGGAAAAGACAATAATGCCAGGAAAATGTGAAGGCAGCAAGAAAAGAGGAAGACCCAGGTCCATATGCACAGGGGTGCCATTGAGTGCCTGGCACCCTCCCCAAACAGCCCAGCCCCCTCCCCAAACAGCCATGCCTCCCCCTTTCCTCCTCTCTGCCAGGGGAGGGGAAGCGCATCTCAGCCCACGCAACTTGCTGCCGGTGCAAGTTCCTGTCTTTTCTCTCCTCTCGGATTGCCTGAAAGGAGGGGATGTGTGTATAGGAAGGGGATGCGAGGAGAATAGCCCATTGGCACAATGGGTTAAGGGGCTGCTCAGGGGGTTATGGTACTGCTGCTGCTGCTGCTGCTAGCTAGCCAACGGAACCAGGCTGTGTCTGTAAAACCTCGAGAGGCTCTCCCAGCTCCTTCAGCAACGCTTGCCAGAAGACATCTTGGATCTTCTGGGGGTAGGCTTTGATTCTGGAACAATGCACAGTGCTTCAGAGAGAATACAACTCCCAAACACAAATCCTAACCTTTTTCCCCATTATTTTTGAACTGCCCCAGCTGCTGCTCCCCCCCTCCCCGTTTTTACCTGTCAACTCTTGCCTAGCAATGTCTTTCCTGTATATTTCCCTAACAGCAACAACCCTGTGATGTGGTCAGCTCCACTGTACTAAACTACCCCCTTGGGGATCCCCTAACAAAATTTTTCTGGGTACGGGGCTGGGAAGACCCAACATGAGATGGATTGATTCATGGCCCTCAGTTTGCAAGGCTGTTAATGATAGGACATTTTGGAGGACATTAATTCATAGGGTCACCATAAGTTGGCAGTAACTTGACAGCACTTAACACACACATGTAACTACTACATATAATGTGAAAAGGAAGAGGATTTTCTTCACAGTTTATACACATTGGAAAAATTAGTTCCACGGAAAAGCAATTGGCTTTGATATTTCTAGATGCGGAGAAGACCTTTGACAACGTCAACTGGAAATTTATGTTGGAAGCACTGAAAGAGACACAGGTTGGTGCCAATTTTGTGAAGATGATTCAGGCAATCTATACCAAACAAAAAGCGGTGGTAATGATTAATGGGGAACAGACACAATACATCGAAATTCAAAAAGGGACGAGACAGGGATGTCCTTTATCCCCTCTGCTGTATATATTTGTACTGGAGATACTTAATGACTCCATAAGAAGACAGAAAGAGATTAAGGGCCTGGAATTAAAAGGAGAAGAATATAAACATTTGGCATTTGCAGATGACTTAGCATTTATATTGGAGAACC